GTTCTTTACATTTAATACCTTCAACACTCATAAAGAATTTTCAGTCAACAAATATATTTTAGGAGCCAGGCAAGAGGGACATAAAGATAAAACATCATTTATTTTGAACTTTTTACAAGAAAAAAATTATATTAAGTAATAACTCCCAATACTTTATTGCACTGTGTTGTGGGAAGAAAGCTGACCAACTGATGCCTGCCTGAGTGAGTGGGCCTAGTGAAATGAGCAGGCTTTGCTACACAGGTGAAGGAAAGGATAAATTCCAGCAGAAAGAGCACACATAAAGAGGAATAAAAGGAAATGGCAGATTATGAAGGACTGGCAGATTCAGAAAGGGTAAAGATCTGGGTAGATAAGGGAAGTCCAAAACATGTTGAGGCCAGGCTCTAAAGGGGCTTGTGTGTTGTGCCATGGGCACAGGCAACCTCAAAGAAGCTCTGTAAAGGACCGACACAAGCACATTTAGTTTTCAGGAGAATAACTACTAGCAATATAGAGGATAGACTGAAATAGGAGGAAGACAAAACACTAACCGTTTAATCAAGAGGTGATGAGTAGTGTGGAATGTGGATATGTTTCTTTTTGATAGACTACATAAAATAAGACATACTAAGCTTCAGGTTAATATAATCAGTAAGCATCTAACCATTCTCCTAGAAACTCAGAGCCTAAAATATAGAGGGTAGAGGGAGTTTAGGGAAAGAATGTTCCTTTCCTTACATCCAAAAGCCCATGGACACCATGCAAACAATGTAGACCTAATATTTATTAAATGTCTTCTATGTTCCAGGCACTATTCTAGTCACTTGGGACCCATCCATATCCTTGTGGGGCTCACCTTCTCAAAAGGGAAATAGTACCTGGCCGGTGTGGCTTAGGGTTGAGCATCAACCCATGTACCAAGAGGTCACCAGTTTGATTCCCAGTAAGGGCACATGCCCAGGTTGTAGACCAAATCCCAGTGGAGGGCATGCAGGAGGCAGCCAATCGATGTTCTCTCTCATCAATGTTTCTATCATTCTCCCTCTCCCTTCCTCTGTCTCTAAAATTAATAAAGAAAAAAAAATGTTTAAAAGAACAGGAACAAGACAGGAATGCCCACTTTCACCACTCTTACACAACATAGTGCTGGAAGTCACAGCCATAGTAATTAGACAAGGAGAAAAAACAAAAGGTATCCAAATTGGAAAGGAGAAAGTGAAGCTGTTATAACAGTTTCATGACATGATAGATACATGATAATGCACATAGAAAACCCTAAACAGGCCATCAAAAATCTACTAGATTTAATAAATGAATTCAGCAAAGTTGCAGGATATAAAATTAATATTCAGAAATCAATGGCATTCTTTTTTTTTTTTATCCTCACCCGAGGACACTTTTTCATTCTTTGTTCAGATAGAGCAGGAGGGAGAGAGAGAGAGAGAAACATCGATGTGAAAGGGACACATCGAGTGGTTGCCACCCACACGACCAACCAGGGCCGGGGACAAACTGCAACCGAGGTACATGCCCTTAGCGGGAACCGAACCCGGGTCTCTCCGGACCGCAGGCCGACGCTCTAACCGCTGAGCCAAACCGGCCAGGGCAATGGCATTCTTTTACACCAGTAATGAACCCTCAGAAAGGGAAACCAAAAAAAACAATCCCATCTACCACTGCAACAACAAAACAAGTAAGATACCTAGAAATAAACTTAACCAAAGAGAGAAAAAAACTGTTCTCAGAAATTTACAGAACATTGAAAAAAGAAATACAGGAGGATATAAAAATGTGGGAACATATACCATGTATATGCATCAGAAGAATCAATATCATTAAAATGTCCATACTAACCCAGCCAGTGTGGCTCACTGGTTGAGCATCAACCCAAGAACCAGGAAGTCTCCAGTTCAGTTCTGGTCAGGGCACATGCCAGGGTTGTGGTCCTGTTCCCCAGTAGGGGGCATTCAAGAGGAGGCAGCCAGTCGGTGTTCTGTCTCATTGATGTTTCTATGTGTCTCTCTCTCTCTCCCCTTTCCTCTCGCTAAAATCAATAAAGAAAAAAATATTTTAAAATAATAATAAACAAACAAATAAATAAATAAAATGTCCATACTTCCCAAAGCAATCTATAGATTCAATGCAATCCTTATTAAAGTACCAACGGCCTGTTTCACAGATCTAGAATAAATATTCCAAAAGTTTATATGGAACTATAAAAGACCCCAAATAGCCACAGCAACCTTGAAAATGAAGAACAGAGTTGGAGGGATCACAATACTGATATCAAGTTATTCTACAAAACCATCGTAATCAAAACAGCCTTGTACTGGCACAAGAACAGGCACATAGATCAATGGAAAAGAACAGATAATCCAGAAATTGACCCGAGACATTATGCGCAATTAATATTTCACAAAGGTGGCAAGAGCATAAAATGGAGTAAAGACAGCCTCTTTAATAAATGGTGTTGGGAAAATTGGACAGTTACACGCAAAAAAAATAAAACTAGACCACCAACTTATATTGTACACAAGAATAAACTCATAATAGATAAAAAACTTAAAAGTAACCTGTGAAACCATAAACATCCTAGAAGAAAATGTAAGCAGAAAAATCTCAGCCAGTGCACATAGCAGAATTTTCACTGATACATCACCTAGGGCAAGAGAAACAAAGAAAAAAATTAATAAATGGGATTATATCAAACTAAAAAGCTTCTGCATGGCAAAAGAAACCAGCATCAAAATGCAAAGGGAACACACTCTGTGGGAGAACATATTTGCCAATGATACATCTGATAAGGGGTTAATATCCAAATACATAGAGTACTCATACAACTTAACAAATGGAAGACAAACAATCCAATTAAAAAATAGGTAGAGAACCTGAATAGACACTTCTCCAAACAGGATGTACACATGGCCAGGAGACATGAAAAAATGCTCAACATCACTAATCATCATAGAGATCCAAATTAACACAACTCACAACTGCCAGAATGGGTACCATCAACAAATCAACAAACAACAAGTACAGGGGAAGTTGTGGAGAAAAGGGGACTCTAGTACACTGCTGGCAGGAATGCAGACTGATGCAGCCACTACTGAAAACAATATGGTGTTTCCACAAAAAATTAAAAATGAAATTGCCATTTGACCCAATGTCTCACTTCTAGGAATATATCCTAAGAAGCCTGAAACACCATTCAGAAAGAATATATGAACCCCTATGTTCATAGTAACACTATTTACAATAGCTAAGATCTGAAAACAGACTAAGTGTCCATCAATAGATGAGATAAAAAAGCTGTGGTACATTTTCACAATGGAATACTATGCAGCTGTAAGAACGATAGATCTCTTACCCTCTGAGATGACATGGAGGGACCTGGAAAGTATTATTCTGAGAGAAATAAGCCAAAGACAAGTACTGTGTGATCTCATTTATGGAACATCATGAACAATATAAACTGTCAATCAAAATAGACCCAGAGATATGAAAGTAGGAAACAGAGCAACAAACCTCAGAGGGAAGGGGAGTGGGAGGTTGGGAAAAGATAAACCAAAGAACTTATATGCATATATACACAATCAATGAACATAGCCAATAGTTTGGGGAAAGCAGGAGGGGAGTAGAGGGGGAGGGTCACTAGGGGGAAAAGGGAGGGACATATGTAATACTTTCAATAATGATAATATAAGTAAATAAAATATGAATTTTAAAAAGCATACTGCCCGGCTGGTGTGGCTCAGTGGTTGAGTGTCGACCCATGCACCAAGAGGTTGCCGGTTCGATTCCTAGTCAGGGCCCATGCCCAGGTTGTGGGCAAATCCACAGTGGGGGGCATCTCATTGATGTTTCTACTCTCTCTCCCTCTCCCTTCCTCACTCTCTAAAGCTCAATAAAGAAAAAAAATTTTTTTAATAAATAAAAAGCATATTTAATATCTGAACAAATGCTTTCAATCAGAACAAAAAGTAAAATCACCTAATAATGAACACATTCCTAAAACCCTGGTAATGCAATTGTTCACAAAATTGTGTGTGTTCATGTGTAGTGAATCTAAATGATGACCCATTGAGAACTGTTACATGAAAGAATGGCATATCAAAAACCACTATCACAGCCATTGAAGAAAAGACTGTGTTTATGATAGGATAATGTTTAAGTAGGAAAAGAGCTACAAATTAGTATGTGCAATATTCTAATTTTGAATTTAAAAGAATATATGTATATGTTTGTACAGAAATAATATCAAAAGAATATAAACCTAGCCCTAGCCAGTTTTGCTAAGCGGTTAGAGCGTCGGCCTGCGGGCCAGAGAGACCCGGGTTCGGTTCCCCGCTAAGGGCACGTACCTCGGTTGCAGTTTGTCCCCGGCCTGGTAGGTCGTGAGGGTGGCAGCCACTCGATGTGTCCCTTTCACGTCGATGTTTCTCTCTCTCTTTTCCTCTCTCTCCCTTCCACTCTATCTGAACAAAAAGTGGAAAAATGTCCGCGGGCAAGGATAAAAAAAAAAAAGAATATAAACCTAAAAGGTTTTGTTTTCATATTTCTATGTTTTCCTTTACACATTTCTATGTTTTAAAAGTTTTCTGCAGTAAGTAAATACTACTTTTGTAATTTGGGGGAAAAGAAAAAACTATACCAAAATATTTTAAGTAACACCAAAAAAGTCTATGGAGTAATATGAAAAGGAGGTATATATACATGTCTACACATACACACATATAAGATTACAATTATTTTAAAGAAAGAAAAATTATGCATAATAAAAGAAAAAAGACTGGTAGGAAATACATCAAAATAATGGTGGCTTTGTGGAAGAAATAATTATGGGCAATTTTTCTTCCTTCTACTATTCTATGCCTTGAAATGTTTCTTTCAAGAACATATATTAATACCAAAAAATTACTTTACTTATCAACTCTGATCAAACCTCTTTTCTCACTGTATACTGCCTCTTGAAACAAACCAACAAACATAAATATTCACACAAACCCACAGGTACTTACATGGGCTTACATCTCTGTATCTGTTTCGATTTCTATTTTCTGGAAACTTGGCCACTCTATGAGGATAGTCACGGGACTCATTGCGAATTTCCTTAAAATAACAAAAATATTTTTTAATATTCCTCTTAAACTTTACATAACAAAACAGATACTTTCCCAGTCAATATAAAATAACACTTATTGAACACATGAAATGCCAAGTACTATGCAAAGCACACTGTTTACATTATCTTGCTCAATTCTCACAATACCAAGGGCAACAATTATTTTCTCCATGTTATATGCAAGGGATGATATGCTTTGAGAGGTTAAACAACCTACCAAAGGTCACAAAGCTAGTAAGTGCCAGACACCAGGACTGAACCAAGGTCCTTTAGGCACTGAAATATTTGCTGTCATGCTATATTCAACACCTACAAGGCAACATTAAACATTTTATGTCACACAGAATTAATGCAATGGAGGTATCTTAGATTACATTATACTCAAATTTCTGACTAATCTCTCTTAACATCTACCTATATTTTGGAGTTTCTATCTTAAAATTGTAATCCATTTTTTTTCATCTTCATGTTATATAACTTCTAATACTTTATTCTGAGTCCAGAAATATCCTCAAATTTTATTTCGGGAGCCATAAATGCTTAGTGACAACCACTAGGCCTGAGGCTCATTTTACAACCCTTGTGGTTATCTGTATTCCACTATGGAATAAATTCTGTGAGGTTATGCCTGCATTAATCAGGCACTTGGCTACTTATATTCAACATCAGCAGGTTTTTTTCTCTCATATGAAATACAATTCTAAGAATTCGGGTGAAAAGACAAACAACCAAAAAAGAGTATGCATTAACAGCAAAAATTAATTTGGGCTTTTGTTCACACTACCACATGTGAGAAAAAGCATTTTAAAAGTTAGGTACCAGATAGTTCTATAAATTAAGCATAAATAAATTATTCAAGTAATTTCTTTTTTTTTCTTCAGAAAGAGCGGGAGGGAGAGAGGAAGGAAGAGAGAGAGAAACATCAATGCAAGAAAGACACATCAAGTGGTCGCCACTCACACGACCGCAACCGGGGCCAGGGATAAACTGTAACAGAGGTATGTGCCCTTAGCAGGAAGCAAACCTGGGACTCTCTGGTTCACGAGCTGACACTCTAACCACTGACCCAAACCGGCCAGGGCAATTCAAGTAATTTATTTTATTTATTTATTTTTTTTATCCTTACCCAAGGACATTTGTCCATTTTTTGTTCAGACAGAGCGGGAGAGAGAGGAAGAGAGAGAAACATTGACATGAAAGGGACACATCAAGTGGCTGCCACCCACACGACCCAACCAGGGCCGGGTACAAACTGCAACCGAGGTACTTGCCCTTAGCAGGAACCAAACCTGGTCTCTCCAAACCGCAGGCCAACGCCGCTGAGCCAAACTGGTCAGGGCTCAAGTAATTTCTTGATGAATGTCCTTACTGTGGGTTGCCTTGCCTGCCCCCATCCCTGCCAGCCCTAGAATAGTTAACTTTTTAGTTCATGTTTTTACTTATTAGACCTTCAAAGATGCAAGAGAAGGGAATACAGACCACTTCTCAGTGGGAGGAATCTCAGTCACATTGTACAAAGAGCACGTGGGATACAAAATATGTTAGTACAGCCATTCTGGAAAATACATCTGCCACACAGAGAAACAGAAACACACACTGTACATACATTACAAATATTGCTGATGACTTTTTAAAAAATTTTATTTAGAAATTTGCTATTTATTTCTGTTATTAATATATTATTTGAAAACTAAACAGTAATCTAAATGAAAACACCAATATAATATGGAATCATGCAAACTAGAGCTACAAAACCTAACAAAAATTATCCATGTTTAAAATTTATTTTACTTATTTTTTATCCTCACCCGAGGACATTTTTTAATTTTTTGCTCAGATAGAGTGGGAGGGAGAGAGAGGAAAGAGAGAGAGAGAGAGAGAGAGAGAGAGAGAGAGAGAGAGAGAGAGAGAGAGAGAAACATCAATGTGAAAGGTACACATCAAGTGGCTGCCTCCCACATGACCCAACCAGGGCCGGGGATAAACCGCAACCGAGATACATGCTCTTCGCGGAAACCAAACCTGGGTCTCTCTGGACTGCAGGCTGACACTGTACCGCTGAGCAAATTTTTTTAAAAATTTTTTTTCGGGTGTAGAAAATTCATAACCTGAATATGGAAAAATAAATCAGAAACAAATCAATTCCAGTCTATGCCCCATTTTGGGACTCATGTTATTTCAAACTCAAATGGCTATGTTGTATACTGTAACCACATTCTAGCTACATGCAGTAGCAACAGCACAGGAGAAATAGTTGACCAGCAGCCTAAAGCAATAAGCAGAGAACAGAGCTTAAGCAGAATTAATCTTTGTTCTCTGACCTCCCTAGACCAACAAGCAAAGGCACTTGAGACCACAAACAAATGTGTACACTTCAGGAACTAAATCAGCAAAAGGAGAGAGGATAAAAAGTCAAAGTTCTATGGTAGGGATACATAAAAAGTTTAGGTATCTCCTTAAATGATACTGGGGAGTAAAGTCTACTGTCACTTCCAGCAATCTTGCTGAGCTCTCTAGTATTTTGTAGCTGGTTCTGAATTTCTCAACAGCAGCAGTGATAATTCTGTCTCTTCCTTATATTTCATATTTCTTATTTATTCATGCCTCTTGTTGTTGTTTTTCCTAATCTAATTGCATTGGCTAGGACCTCCTATTCACAGTCAAATAGAAATACCCCCCCCCCCCCCCCCCCCGATTTCGAATGAATTGCTTCCAAGGTTTAACCACTAAGTGAAATACTGCTTTAGGTTTCTGGTGGATACCCTCTGCAGGTAAAGAAGTTTCCTTCAATTTCTAGTTTGATAAATGTGTGTGTTTGTTTTTTTTTAACCATGAATAGGTACTGAATTTTATTCAGTGTTTTTCTTGCATTCATGGACATAACCATATAGCTTCTATCCTTTAATCTGGTAATGTGTTGAATTACAATAGCATATTTTCACTTAATAATATGCATTTAAGGTTCTTCCATGTCTTCTCATGGCTTGATAACTCATTTCCGTTTAGTGCTGAATTAACATTCCATTGTCTAGATATACCACCACCATTATTTTAATTAACATGCATACATCCATTTTAAGTTGATTTACCTCTAATTTTCTTTTCCCATATGATTTATTCAAGTTTAGTATCAAAGTTATACCAACCTCATATAATAAGTTGGTCAAAAATGTTATCTTTCAGTTTCAACTATTTTTCCATGAAAGTACATTATAATAAATTATTGTGACTGGCTGAAAAGCAAAAGAGCTTCAAACATTTCCACATATTATAAAACTTTCCAAATGTCAAATAATTTTTACATGTAAAATTAAACACATTCAAGTATAGGCTTATATTTGTTTGTATAACCTCAAACGCCATATGTAGAATTAAAACACTACAAAGTGGTATAATAGGTAATTTTATATTGCAAATCAGTAACTGATATAAAAGGAAAATATTAATTTAAAGTAACACTAAAACAATTATTCTGTTGATAGCTCTTCTGCATCAAGTGCACAGAAAACAAATTGGCAAGAATAAAAATTCTGATTAACACTACGTAGAGAGAATGAAAAAGAGCCTCACACATTACTGAGAAAGTGAACACCAAAAAGTTTTTTTGACAAATACCTTTTTAGAATAATTTAGTAAGTACATAAACTTGACCCACCTATTTCACTGCCAAAATTTATATAACATATAGTCATATACCTGTGTGCAAGGAATTATACACAGGGATGTTCATTCCACATGATAGTGAAAAACTGACAACTGAAATGTCCTTCAGTAATAAGCTGGTGATATCAGTTATAATGCATCAATGCAGTAGAATATGTGGGAACCATGAAAATACATTGATATGGACAATCTCAAAGATATATACTGTGTAGTGAAAAAAAGATACAAAAAATATGTTTAGTATGAGAGACAAGAAATTAGGCCAGGCCAGTGTGGCTCAGTGGTAGAGCATCGACCCATGCATCAAGAGGTCAGGGTTCCATTCCCAGTCAGGCCACATGCTTGGGTTTCGGGCTCCATCCCTAGTAGGAGCCTGCAGGAGGAAGCCAGGCAATGTTTCTCTCTCACATCATTTGAAAATTTCCCTTTCAAGCTTATTAACCCTAATGGGCTAAAATTTTATTCAGCTAACCTTATCAGGTATTCTTCCAAAAATAAAATTTCCAATAACAGATACTTATTTTTAAAAGTGCAAAATATTTAAAATTTTAATGAAAATATTTCTAAAAGGCATTATGTGTTTGTTCCCAAAACAAGAATATACAGAATGTCATATAACCTTTTCATGAGTCGTCGCACACATTAATATACTGGGCAATAACACAATTACAACCCCAGGGGATTATTTAAGTAAATACAGCTGTTTGTCTCTATACTAAGTGGCCAACAGAGTGCTTTACTTGGATTTTTTATATGTAATTTGCTAGAAGAGAAAAAATTTTAATATATATTCACTAGTCAGAACTTGGGACTCCATAGATCAGCAAAAAGGAAAATTATCCACTACCAAGAGATAATTAAATTTTTTGGACATTTTTTACTTTATGGATAAGTAGACATTAATATACATTTTAATTTAATTTTTTAAATATGTTATTTTTTTAGAGAGAGAGGGAAAAAAACATTGATGTGAGGGAGATACATTGATCAGCTGCCTCCTGCGCGCCCCCTACTAGGGATTGAGCAGGCAACCCTGGCATGTGCCCTGACTGGGAATCAAACCAGGACTTCTCAGTCCATGGGATGATACTCCATCTGCTGAGCCATACCAGCCAGGCTAATTTAAATTTTTAAAATAAAAATAGAGTATACAGGCACACAGTTTATATACCTATTTTAATCTCTTAAAATAGCATGATATTGTCCCCTGTCAATACACACCCCACCATCATTTTTAATGACTACTGAATGTAGAACCTTTCTGTTATAGAATACACCATAATTTATTTTGCCTCAATTAGATTTCCAAAACTTCACAATTATT